TGTCGTTGATATTGTAAACTTTTACAACAAACAAGTAGAGATAAACTCCCTCGATCAACATCCAGCAGAAAGCGGCCATTAGGAAATATTGCACAAAAGCTGCTACTGTAACACAGGCAGACTGCACAGGAATGAAAAAGTTGAATTTGACCTGCACCAAGTGAAGCGACTAGACTCACTCGAATCTGAGATAAAGGTCCCCTCATGTCTCTAATCAAAAATAAACAACTGATTTTATTCTACATCAGTTCTATTCTCATTTTATACAAAGTCTGATTATATTTTTATGATTCTACTTGGCTGCTTAAATAAATCTAAACTTTACACATTTAAACTGATATAATCTCTTGTTGGTCTACATGCTCAGCTTGCTTTGGAATTCTTGGGTGGAACTATGTCATGTACTTACGTAAGAACAGCATAACTGATGATTGTTAAAGTGATTCCAACCAGAGAAAAAGACAAGCCCACATATGTAAGAATTTCCAGCGCTGTTTCGTCAGTCTTAAAAATGAATGCAAAAACAGTGATTCAATACCGATAACGGAAGAGGGCTACACACCATTTACCCCAATGCTGTCTAGTCTAAGTTCCTTCTGGAATCAATGTATGTATATGCTTATCAATATTCCTACCTTACTTAAAAAGTTACTGCTGGTTCCCCTGTCAAACTGCATAAGAACTGCAAAGTGAGTCAAATGATTGCAGCTGCACTCGGTATAAAATTCGTTCCTCGATGTTAGGAGACACCCTTGTCCTGACCAACTAGAATGACAGCAGAAAACTCTCAGAATCAGAAGGAAATAATGAAATTAGTTCATTAATACCAAATGTCTCGATAGATGGATGATCTTGAGATAAATAAGATACTGTTCGCAAGAAAAAGGAAGGAATCTACGTAACATATCGTGGTGTAATGGCACAGAAAGTTGAGATAATGAAAGTTGTCTGATGATCTAAAATTTTCTCTGATCTTTAGATTCCAAATGAACAAAAAAAAAAAAAAACAACTGCCAGCTTTATAGACCGCTGAGCACGCGGAAGCCTGAGAAGGATAAAAAAAGGAGTAAGAGGTGACCACACAATGTGATGTACCAGAAAATAGGACCTGAAAAAAAAGTTAGGCCCGCAAGGGATTTGAACCCATTACCTCTGCGACACCGGTGCAGCGCTCTACCAACAATTTTCAACTAACAGTTCAGTAGTGTTCTTAGCTGCGTTGATCTCTTAATTTCCGTTCTTGATCGCAGTGCAAATATATGAATTTCATATATCTAAAATCATCATTCATCACTTGGATGGTTTATTTGGACCCAACACATTGGCCAGCTCTCAGTTGGCTAGTTAGCTCAGTTGGTAGAGCGCTGCACCGGTATCGCAGAGGTCATGGGTTCAAATCCCATAGGGGCCTGAATTTTTTTCAGGTCCTATTTTCAACTACTAGTACAATAGTGTTCGTAGCTGCTATGATCTCTTAATTTTATTCAAAGCTGTTTACCTGTTTTTTGAAGTATTCCAAAACACGCAGCTTCTGTTCGGTGCATCCTAAAACCGTAAAGTACCGTTATTATTACCTAGTACAGCGACTCGATGGCTGATGTGGAGGTGAGAGTGCTCTCGCCGGAATTTTTCAGAGCCCTCCTTACCACTTTAGATACATCTAAATAGTGTTTACAAAGGACCTTGACTTGATACGATGATGATGTTATTAATAATAATAGCAATAGAAATGATAATAGTAATAATGATAATATTTATAATAATAATGATAATAATAATAAGAAGAAGAAGAAGGAGAAGAAGGAGAAGAAGAAGAAGAAACAAATTAGATCAAATCAAAACAAAAGATTAAGTTACGAATGCAGATGCAACTCTTTCTTGATAAATTGTAACTTACCGCTAGGTTTCGAAATCTCAACGTAACATTCTTCCTGAGAGTGTGGTTCTTCGGCCATATCGTTGCAGACAGGATATTACTGTTGATAGACAAACGAGAAAAAAAAAAAAAAAAAAAAAAAAAAAAAATAATTTAACCAACAAACAGACCGACAAAATAAACAAAGAAAATTTAATAAAAAGGCAGGAAAACAGAATCAAGACGAAAGAAACTAAAATAAACGAGAAACCCAAGTCGAGGTCGAGGAAACTTATGAACATGGCCTATAATGTAGGTTATTAGCACACCAAAGCAGATTTATTTGAGATGAAAGATACTAACTGTAATACTAAGTTTTAGCAAACCTGTTTGGCTGGCCTGTTTGGAATACCTCATGGAGATCTTTGTAAATGACACAAAGTACAACTGATCCTAAGATGTAATAATGAGAACAATTTTAATGCTACGAGAATATTGCGAAAAAAGGACAAGTTATCACGGTTTAAAGACCCTGCAAGTTTACCGGTGTGTTTCATTGGCATGCCCAACTTTGTAATAAGAATGAAATATTTCGACCAAAGGACACATAAACAGGTAAAAGAAAACGAAAGCAACTGGATTAAGATATCAGCCATTCGGTTTGAATGTTTGTTATAACTTGAAACCCAGCCCCCCTCTAACCAATAACAGTGATAATCGCTAGAATAATTTGAATAATACGACAAAAATATATTATTTTCTATGCTTAAAAAAAAAAAACAAACAAACAAAAGATATAGCTCTCTAACCGTTATCCAAGCCTGTAACAGGGACACTGACATAGTTTTCTCCTTTATCATCCTCAAATTGTACTCCAGTCTCATTTTTGTGGAAAATCTTCCTGACCAAAATATCTAAATTCAAAACCGCGACTTATATTAAGTTAGGGCCGAAATAAATGCAGATGCTTTCGTAGCAGTCTCAAGTCATCGTCCTCAAAAGTTTTAAGACTAAAATGCTGGAAACCATCACTTAGAAATATATTAACTGCAAGTAGTTTGCAAGGATCATCAGTCAAAGGAGTGTTCTCTGTTCAATTGTCAGATAAAGTGCTGGTCACCATTTTTAAATTAAAAAAACATATCACTGCAGTGAATTCAAATGGTTTCTTATTTTTATTTCCATAATTTATTTATTCATTTTATCCATTTTTCCCCTCTTTTATGAGTTATTCATAACTATGACGATATTAAAGAACATATGCAAAATAGAAAGAGTTGTTGGAATCGCAGATAACTGACGAGCGATAGGAATTTCCTGTTATAAACTGCCTTAAAAGAGGTCCAAGACAGTTCATGTGTCGCGAAATGATTCGATAAAGGGTTGCTACAGACAAAGTTTACACCCAAAACGTCGAATAAGTAGTAGTGTTTGCAAATGTTTCGAAAATCTGCCACGAATGATGCATGTATTCATCCTGAACTCCGAATTAGAAATCAAGAAAACTTCCAAATCAGCTTTTAAGATCTACTCACCTGCATGTTTACCACGGATGTCAATCTTAGGTACGGTTTGATTAAGGCGATTTTGGGCATAATTCCCAATGAACTCCTCCAAATCAGTGACAGTGAGGAAAGTGCGTTCCATTTTTTCTTGAGTTACTTTATTTCCAGAAGAGCTGGTCACTTCTTTTAGAATGGTGTCAACAAGTTTCCTTCCTGGGGACTGAGTTAGTGGTTTGTTTAGACAAGACTTTCAGTAGCCTAGCTCTTAAAGGAATCAATAAATTCATGGGTTACACAATCTGAGGAAAATTGAGCTTTCATTAACCAAGGCACCAGCAGTAAACTTAAGAGGAGTTTAATTTTATGATGACTCGATCGAACTCTTCTATTTACAAGCTATTGCTAGTGGTTTCTTATTAAAGTGTTACGAAGATAATACGGAACACCTGAGTACAAGAATATAAATAATACAGGAAATACTGATAACTTAAGAAAGAAAGTGCTCGCGATTACATTTCGAGCTTTGCATGATCTGCGTGAAAGTCGAACTTATATCGATAACGACGCGGTCCGGGGTCAGGAGGGGGATAGGTTTGACATTCTCTAAAGGGTGGAATTAGAGGACCAACAACAATAGGCATTAAAAATGTTACAAGAAAATCAAATACACCTACCTCGCTTGATGGTGTTAGCTTGATGGCAGAAAAATTCAGTTTCCAGCACTGTTTCACTTTGATTCTGCCCAAATACGACGAGTCGGTTGTATTTGTCAATATCACAGAAAACTGCTTGCGAGTTTTTTCACTTTTTCTGCATCCCCACATTTTGAAACAGTGATCTTTCCAAGAAGACGCCTGACTGAAAAAATAAGTCAACTGCTCACACCAAGAGCTACAACAGACTTTGTCAATAGATGTAGGTGTCTCATTGCCACATTTCATTCTATGCCAGATTCGACGCATTTCTTGAACACTCTGCTGTAGTGTCCGATAGTCCGAACGGTTCAGCTCGGAGGGTGCGAGTGTATCATTGGGGTGGGAGCAGTGCCCATCTGCGTTATAAACGTAAACATAAATCAGAGACATTTTAAATCATTTAAATCTCCTTCATAAACATACTTTTTGTATTTTTTCTCAATTTATTTTTTTTTCTGTGAGTATATTATTTGCTTGACCCTTTTTTTTTTTTGCTTGATTTTCCATCCTTCTACTGCTCGAATAACGTTTCACTGCTCGTATTCAACCCCAGCTGCTTTTCCCACCCGGTAAGGAACGCATTGCAGTTTCGGTTTGCGTTTGCGTTTGTGTGGGTGTGGGTGTTTGTTTGTTTTGTATCAGTTTCCACTTCTCACTTCTCACTTTCCACTCTGAACGGAGTAGTGAGTGGTTGGTATCGAGAGTTTGTATAATATAATGATATATATAATATATATTTGGATGTTCAGAAGCCTTAGTATCTTTTTTCTGAATATTTTCTTAATTGTCAAGGATGGGTCCCGCTACTTAATATGTTACTTTCTAAGGTTTCTAAGCCAAAATCTCCCTTCGTTTGCTTTTCCCCCTCTTTTGGACAATTACGAGCAATAACATATCAGTGATCTTTTGGAATAGGTCGCTTGTTAAGATTTATTTAGCAACAGATAATTTATTGTTCAACCCATAACGGCAGAGGTTAACTAGTTGAACAGTGTTTAATCTTTATAATTTTCTATTTCCCTTTTTTTTTTTTCGCCAAGACAATACATACCTTGTGCTGAAGTTGGCATGGCCGTACCGGCTGTAATGGAGACAAAACCAAAAGATATAATTCCCCAATTCACAGCCATACCGCAACAAGAGGGGTGGGGGAAGGGGGGGGGGGGGGGGGGGGGGCTAGGGGAATCAATCGCAAGATAAATACTTATATAATAAGATATCTAATGGAAACGTGGGACTTCCTAGTCAACCATATAGGGGCAACTGCGGGTAAAATCGTTCGTATTACACTCAAAGCCTTGCAAGGGTCGTGCTTAAAGGAAGGATTCGTAGAAGGAGAAGCGTCACGCATCCTAAGAACAAATCCGACACCCTCCACATGTAGCAATAACGTACAGAGTTTCAAAATGTGCTCAAAGAAGGGAATGGATACTTGACGAAGATGTGAAGAGATATATGTCACGCCTGCTAGAGAAAGTGCCATCAAAAAACAAAGGCAATAGCACACAGAAAAAAGTATTGCTATTTATGACGCAATATCTTCCTACAAGAACATACTGATGGGAAAATGGCAACTTATTCAAAACCAACGCACTGAATCACATCGAAAAGGAAAGTCGTTAAAACATATCCTAGTCAGAGCTAATCTCAAAAATTTAAAACCGCATGCGAATTGCAGGAGTCCTGCAGGCCCATCAATACTTTTTAACTCGTCATTTGCTTCTTGTGATCTGCACCTTGCGCGAAGTTTGTCGACGCTCTGATGCAGCAAAATCTCTGCAAGTTGGCTCTTAGTTGAACCTTTTTGCCGAAACTTCCTGTCATTTCACAGGTTGAAGGTGGCTTTCAGAGCAAAAGTCCTTTTCGTTCGCACAGTAGCTTTAAGCCTTTTATGTGAAGGAACGCGGGATGCCATCGACAGTTCCAGATACAAAAAAATTCCTTAAGGAAATTGCGAGAAACCACTAAAATGACTGCCTAGAAAAAACAAATCTTTATTTCAGAAGACATGAAGCGCATGAAGCCATCGTCCACGTCTATACGTATGTTGTCAAAGCATAGAACAGATAATCGGTGCTTGACGGAACTATACACGCGAATATTTCAACCAAAATAGTTCCAAACTGATTCTGGTCGTGTTTTTCTTGCTTGAAATCACATTTAAAAAAATTAGAGATTTTAAAGTTTAAATCCGCCATATTTGTTATGATGTAGTTATGACGTAGCAATGGTCAAGGTTTGTAATCTCGACTAAGAAGGATAAAAAACTAAGAAAACAGCAGCGAGGAGAGCGATAATGACTCAATTCTCGACATGGATCTTATTCCAGACGTTGTATTACGTCCAATCATGTTTTAGCCCTAACATAGCTCGTGTTCAGAAGAAGAAGAAATCGCCATTGACGAAGCAACTCAGTAAAAAATAAAAGGAGAAACATCTACGAGCTCACGTCTTGGAAATTGCGAATGGTGCTCTTGCTCTTGATGATCAACTCGATCTGGAATCGAAGATAACTAATTCCTCTCAAATAAAATACTTGTTTCTAAAGTGACATTTTTTTTAGTTTTTACTAAAAAACGGCGCAGCGCCGGCGACGGATTTATTTCACATCGCTAATTCTGTGATGTAAATTATTATTGAAACTGTAGGAACCAGGTTTCGTTGTATTACTGAGCACGGATCATTTGGACCCGTGTGTTTACTGGCCAATGTTTTCAAAACAGCCCTTGTTGGCTTTCACCAAGTGAGAAATGAGAGACTTGAAGATTATCCGTCAAATGAGTAAGCAACGACAGAATAAACTTTTTTTTTCTCACAAAACTCATGCATACAAAACGCTTAAGTTGTTTGCAAGTTAACCTGATACAAACCGAAAAAGAAAGACAACGGCAGTTTATTGTCAGCTATTTTATTAAAAGTGTTGTTGTAATCTTTTGAAGGGCCAAATTCACCGTAATATTTAACTGCAAATAGACCTTTAAGAAAATTACCATACAAGCTACTTTGGGAAAATAAATATAGGATATCTGCCGTTCTAGGTTTGTTTCATATATATAAACAAAGCCTCATGTTACATGAAGAGCGTCAGGAAGTCTCCCGTTGTCGAACATTGTTGGCTTATGATATCGATCTTAATATAAATGACGCCTCAGTGCTTGGCGAAGTAGAATTTGTTTGTTTTAACTGCATTTGTCTGAGTTCCGTTCCGAACTGGACAAAACGAATTCGAATTCCTGAGGAAAAGTTCTTTCAACAAAAATAAAATTTTCTAGACCGTACTTTCTCTTTAAAAAGCTCTTAAGAGAGCTTTAAAGAGCTCCGTCGAGAAAAAAAGCGCAATTGATTGTACAACATGCAACCAAAAGCCTTCTTAACACATCGAATTTTTTTAAAGTTTACATATTTAAAGGTTACTATATTACTTTTTAATACTCACCAACCGCTAGTGCAAGAAAAACCATTCTCCAGAACAATTTAGCTACAGTTTTCTTTCGAAGTTTAGGATATGAATTCGGCATTTTTAGGATCACCGTCTCGTGAAACAATGATGAAGGTATTGGTCTGTGTCCAGTGACGTTGGGCAGACGTTAGACACAGAGATACGTTAGATCTTGAGCGAACAAGGAAGAAAGCAGAGACCAAACTAGGCGTGAGTTTCTAAACACATTATTCCTTGGGTTTGTTGGCACTGAATTGACCAGCTGGGTCCTTATTTTCTTTATAAATTCAGACAATATTAATACCAAGACATGACTAGAATTATATCTCGTATACGAAAGTGTCACGGAAACCACTAAGAAGTGGCAGGTGGCAACTGCTCTTGTCTTAATTTGAAATAGCGGATGACAAGACAAAGAGTCGCAGCACTGTTTTTTTCCCGGTATTTTTTAAAATTGTAATTCACCCATAGGTTGGGCACACACTGACGTATTTGTATTATTGACATCGCAACTGAGAGACGTGTAATGAATGATCATTAAAACAAAACAAAGAGTGTTCAACTCATTAGGTGTCTTCATTGGAAACTGGGCCGAATTTCCTAGTTTGCATGACGAACTGAAACGAGGTTGAGAAAGTTTTATCTGTTTAAAGAGGAAATTTTCAACTTAATGATTCATTATGTCTACCAGGGGAAATTTTCGTGTTAAGCCTCCATCTAATTACAATATTTTCCTTTTTTTGGCATCCCTAAATGAAAGACGAAAAAACTGAAACAAATACACCTTTAAGAATTATACCTCCTCTGCTATCTAAGTGGTGTTTTACGAATATAGACTTTCTTGAGAGACTAAAACTTAGCTAAGCTGACAGCGGATAGCAATTGAAGGATGTAAAACAAGGATTTTAAACATTACTCTATTGGTATCAAAGGGAAATATAACATCTCATTTTAATGCCGGCAAAACGAGAATTATTAGGTCAAGGAGACAGAGGAAAACGAGAAAACGAAAAATTAAGACGGACTTGAGGATGTGATAATCATCAAACGTCTGCGAGGCCTTCAATCATAAACCTACTAATGGAAAATTCTCGCATATTTTAGCATTGCAATAAGGCGCCTTGGCCTCGTGTTCCCAAAGAAAACTTCATAATCTTCACTTGACGTGCGGCGCTTATCAACTTTACATAAAATAATGGTTAAATAAGTCCTTCTGTACAAAAAATTTGAAATACTACCCACTTCAATCATACGAAGAAGTGTTTCTGTCATCCTTGCGTGTAATTATTAAAGCAGATGTCTCCGAACCATGATTACGGCGCATATTCGTCTATTACATGCACTACTATTTTCATTATCATTTTAATTTTAAAAAAAGATATATATTTCGTTGTTGTTGTTGTTGTTTCGTTTCGTTTCGTTTCATTTTTTTTGTCTTTTCATTTGCTATAGACGTAAGTCGAGAAGTATTGGCCACAAACTCTCATACTGAGGTGCTTTTGGTATCAATGGACAGACGTCAAAACAACGGAAATGCTGACCAATACCTTTATTTATATCATTGGCTCAGACTACTTAGTGCAACAGATTTTGAAGAAATACTTGCGTGATCAGTGCTGAGTTAACACTTCATGAATCAAGTTATAAAGAAGAGGAAGTCCACTGACCTAAACGTTAGACAAATTCCGGGCTCGGAAGTGCATTTTTTTTTTCTGTGTTCCCTTGCCAGATTTATATGGGTCTGCATGAAATATGTTCATATGAGTTATTGACCGAGCGTAAAGTCAGGATGGCTGGATACTGGCCGGGTTCTATTTTTGCATTTAAAAACGCAGAAAAAGAACGAGGCTAATATTCAGCCACCTCGACCGAATAGGCTTGGTCAAGAGAGTTTACAATCTCTTGACTTGGTCAATAAAGGACTTACGATATTGAAAAAATATTTTGCTTTAATAAAAATCAAGAACGACTTGTTTATTTTGAGAGCCGAGAAAGTAAGCCACCGTGTGTGCGACACGATAAACCCAAGAGGGTCGTTTGATTTTTTTTTTGTTTTGACTGCTTCTGCCGCTTCTTGCGACTTCGTTGCTAACACTGTCCAATAGTTACAAACTTTGTAAGTCCGCTTCACGAACTTTTTTTTCTTGCGCGGGACATAATTGTCCAAATCGCGTTCTCTTGGGGAGAAAAGCATATTGTTCAAATTCATAAACTCATGAAGATATTCGAGGGTTTGAAAGTAATCGCTTTCTAAAGTGCTGTCACGAGGTCCGAATTGGGAAACAAATGTGAATGTGAACAAAGTCTATTCAGACAAAGAAAGAAAAAAATGTATATCCGAGCCTGCCAATTGTGCGACCTACAACTCAGTGGACTCCCTCGTCGAGGTCTGTAATTTGGTTTACGACTTGTTAATTCCATTACTGAGTAGACAATAATAACGTTATCATATTTTTTCAAAATCTATTGTACTTAAGAGTCTGAGCCAGTGATACATGGAGATGTATTGGTCAGCGTTCTCATTGGTTTGCCAGCTGTCATTTGATGCCAATTGTTCATAAGTGTAATGGTTTGCAGCCAATATTTATCGACTTCAGTCTAGAAAATAAAGAAAAAGGCTGATTAATATCAGCGAGTCTGCAATGTGACATGAATATTGGTGGATGTGGATGTTCGCTATAACAACAAATGTTAAATGATTGCATTGGAGGCTTATTACATTGAGGACCAACTGTTATAATATTTAGGACTTTATTACATTTAGGACAGTTATTACATTTAGGCCTTCAATCAAGGCACTAGACGGGAGTATCGAAACGTTGGGTCTATGAATTGTAACTTCTTCGGTTACATTCATTAAATCTGTAAACCAGAGCAGCATCAAACCATGTCTGATTGTCCACCTGGTTGCCATGTGAACTTTAATATATTTTATGAGAATGATATCATGAAACGTAAAGAGGGTTGATTCCTTATTTGTTAACAATAAAAGGCTTACATGGAGATTATTTGAGATTTCTTTCTGTTATTCCGCGAAAAGATTCGATCGAGACATTGTCAACCATGCTCCTCATCAAAATGTTATTAATTGTGTACTTTTAAATGAGGAAATGAATAAAGTCTTTTTTTTTCGACACATGAGCAATCGAAAAAGCTTTTTGAATGGATTAAGTTCCATTGTCAAAAATTCATAGTCTGACGCTCAAATCTCAAGCTATAGTGAGTGTTTTAGGAGAAACAGGCTTATCAGAATGGTCACTCCTAGAGTTAACGAGGAGATATTTCTCAACCAACACTCCCTGGAGAAAAATTCTGAAACAATTACGCAAGTAAAAACGACTGCCGAAAGAAAAAACTATGAATAGTTTTTTTGGTTTGTTTGTTGTTGTGTTTTTTTTTTCAATTCTGGCCTCTATTGAGAGTAACGATATTTTGATTACCATTGATTTGCATAATATTTTCTCCTTTTGGTAAGATGTAGACCTTCTTAACACAAATGTATCCAGTGCTCGTTTCTTCGACAAGGAGGAGACTTTTAGATTAATTGAGATGTTCTTTTATTAATCTTCGGATCGATACAAAGCTATATGAGCATTACGAGGGTTATTTGTGCGTGTTCTAATTTTTTTTTTTTTTTTAACGAACTTAATTTAGGATATACATAGTTCTAAGCTAAGAAGCAACAATTCGATGACGACTCAGATCTCAAAGATTTCAGTGCCACTTTCATGGTTATTGCGAGGCTGGACATTAATTTTCCTTGGCAATATCACCATGGAGGTTTCATGTACTTGAGAAGCTCGCTTTATGCTTGTTACTTCAACTGCAGTTGGGGTGACACGAATGATCCTTCTCTTGAAGCGAGATCTAATCTGTATGAATAAGTTGATATCAAAACGATCTCAAGAATTGTACAACAAAACGTGCTTCGAATAAATACAACCATCGAACTGAATTGAATTTCTTATTTCAAAGTGGAAGCTTTCGGGTTAAAAATCTGAGCAAAGTTCTAAATTACAAAGAAACTTCTTAATAAAATTTAATAGCATACCTCTGAGTTTCTCACGCAGTGAAGGAGAAATATCAAGAAGCCCTGTTAAATCACAATGCAGGAAATCACGTTAACGCCTTTAGTAGATTCAAAGCGCTTTCATCCAAGCCCTCCAACTTCAACCCTTTCAAGATTAAATTTTGCTGGGTAGCAAAAATGTCCAAACCTTTACTGCTATTAAGCATAAGTTCTCTACTTTGTCTCTGTATTACACTAAGTTCACCACCTGGTAAATTTGTAAGGAAGGGGTAGTACAACTTCATGCCTTCACGGGGCACTTTTCACGCGCTTCAGGAATATTGAGAGGAATATAATTAGATCAAGAAAACTTTTATCATCTCAGGTATTCGATTGTGAGGCCGTTAGTGTTCTCTTGTCATGTCCTTTATCGACTTAGTTTCAATAAGCAAAATTGTGATTACTGATACAAAATAGATATATGTTTTGTTTTATTGAGGTTTGGTTTTTACTCTGGAAAACTGAGTTTCACTTTTTCATATAATTGTAAAGAGGGTCGTTTTTTAAAAGACAAATCTTAGAATCATGATCTGTTTCTCCCTTTTTTTTTCTTTTTCAATCCTACAATTCCCATGAGTGACCAAGAGAGAAATTCTCCTTAAAATATCAATACAAAATCAAGAAGACAACTGATGAGAACCAAGAAAAGTATCAATTAGGGGATTATTAGCTGATCCAATACCAAATTCTCAGAAGTAAAATCAGAAGAATTGTATAGCAGACAGTGAGGAGAATTACTAATAATATCTTGGAAGTTAAAGGGTTAAACACTGTTTTCTAAAGAATGCTGTTACTGTTAAAAGTTCATCAGCCGCGTAACGTGTGTTTTTTCAAGTATGAATTAATGAAATAATGTGAGAGTTATTTTTGTGTCAGGAGAGACGAGTTCTTAATAGACATGGGTTAGGTGAACCTGTGCCCTGAGATGAGGTGCACTCTGAGCACTGACTTTAATCTTTGTCAAGATGCATACTTGAAACAGAAATATCTCAATCAGAGTTAAATCCACCAACCGCCCTTTTACTTTGGTACCGTATGAGCACGGATTTCGTTCACTAAAAGCTGTATTCAGTTTACCTGAGTGGAGTTGAAAATTGTGAAAATGTATGCAAACGCTTTATGCAGGGGCGACAGAAGACCAAATAGCCACGTGATCCCAAGCAAAGGAATCATCACCACGCATGCCCTGACACCAAGCCTATAAAATCACGAAAAAAGAAAATCAAGAGAATTTGCTTTTACGAGCAAGTCTCTGAAAGAATCAAACATCTTGGGAAATGAAAATTTTCAACCCCCTTCAAATTTTGCATGCGGTTAGGCGCTCAGAGGAGATGCACAAAAATGCTCTCTTTGAAGGTCGCAGCACTCTTGTTGCCATGGCAACAACGACTGCTTGTTCGAGGCCTGAAGCCTCATTGTCATACAAAAACGTCGCAAAAAGAGTGAAATGATTATTTTTCTATCTCAAACTAAATAAAACATTACAAGTTGGCACTTCTACCATACATAGTAACATCCTTGCCAATATATAAAATATCTGATTTTTGATTGCCCCTATGGAAAGTAGAGGCAGGCCCGCAGAAATATTTTTCCATATTTAAAACTACAATATTATAACCAGCTAGTTGGCTAGTTTCAGTTCCATAATCAGTGTACTTTTGGAGAAATTTATATAAACGTTTTCCCTGCTTTACCCACATGTCACTTTCAATAATAGAAGTGCCAACTTGTAATGTTGTACTTAGCTTGAGATAGAGAAATAAACATTTCACTCTTTTTTTGCGACGTTTTTGTATGAAAATGAGGCCCCAGGCCTCGAACAAGCAGCCGTTGTTACTATGGCAAAAAGAGTGCTGCGACCTTCAAAAAGGGCATTTTTGTGCATCCCCCCTGAGGGCCTAACTGCATGTAAAATTTGAAGAAGGGTTGAAAGTTTTCATTTCCTAAGATGTTTCATTCTTACAGACTTGTTCTTACCATTGTTGTGAGTTGGCATTATTCGTATAAGACAACAAAGTATGAGGCTAATGGCTTATATAAATCTACCACTGGCGCCGCTGAAATACTTACCTTATTTGTTCTCTGTTTTTGTCTTTTGCATGCTGCATGATCATCATCTCCTTGATAACTCGCACCAGTATCAATGTGTTTAACTGAAAAAAAAAGTGATAACACCATGGATAACTATTCAAAGGAAAACAGGAGTTCGCACTTGAGCTAAGTGGTCCTAGCGGTCTTAGTGGATGGTGGTCAAAAGTTTCCCCCTAACCTTTCCCTCTCCCCACCATTCCGCAAGACATTTCTCAGGTTTCTTTCACCATTCGTCAGAAAACATTTATACAGCTGGGAGGAGAGGGCGAAAAGCATTGTGAACGCAAAATGTTTTGCCCAACAACACAACACAACAACCCGGTAGAGACTCGAATCAGGATATTCAACCTAAAAATCTTGCACGGTAACCGCTGACGGCATCTCCCAACATAAGGGTCACCTCAAGAAAAATTATATATACTTCATGTTTCGTTGAAAACTATTGAACAGAGTCAAAGAGGTTAAAAAAGGCGGCGAGAAAAATGCTCACAAAACAATGATAACTGAAGGCAAAGTGTGAAGGATAAAAAGGAAAAACTTTAAGAATTCAACATACCAACTCAATCAGCACAACGAATACAACAAATATCCAGATCATGCCGTTAGTGGATGACATCCAGCAGCTGAATAAAAATTAATTACGCGAAACTTTGATAAAGGATCAATTAATTTTTTTTTTGCGCATGCATGTACGCAGGACCCTCCAGGCCGGGTTTGATAACAACTAAAAACAACAAATAAATAACAAAACAACAACAACAACAAACCAAACAATTAAACAAGACAAAAAACAAAACAATGCAAACAAGCAAACAACACAAGGACAAAAAAAAGAGAGAGAGAGAGAACGAGGATTCGTGATAGAGAAATCGCTTGACAAAAAAAATCATTTATTTCTTACAATTTCTCACTGACATAGCTTTTAATCCCTGGCCCGGTTCCTGCTGCAATGCTCAGCGATGTGGAAACGACGAGAGCGGGTAGACCTGTGGATTCGAGATACGAAGTGATAACAGAGTCAAATGATGATAGTGATGTCTAGCTGATGGCAATGTTCATCTTTTACTTTTCAAAAGATCATTAAAGAGAGAATGGGTTTTTTATTTCATAGTTACCCCATGAAAATCCATGAGAAACCTTCATCTTGTCGCTGATATTGTAAACTTTTACAACAAACAGGTAGAGATAAACTCCCTCGATCAACATCCAGCAGAAAGCGGCCATTAGGAAATATTGCACAAAAGCTGCTACTGTAACACAGGCAGACTGCACAGGAATTAAAAAGTTGAGTTAAGAGTTGATTGAAAGTCATAAAGATTTACTGAAAGAGATTCCTCTCTTCTCGTTTGATATAACATCTCACCTTGTTCTCAACAGCACCACTTCCGGTTAGGAAGATCATTTGACCTGCTCCAAGTGAAGCGACTAGACTCACTCGAATCTGAGATAAGGGTCCCCTCATGTCTCTAATCAAAAGTAAATGACTGATTTTATTCTAAGTCAGTTCTATCCTCATTTTATACAAAGCCTGGTTATATTTTTATGATTCGACTTGGCTGCTTAAAGGAATCTTAGCTATGCATTTAAACTGATATCATTTCTTGTTGATTCTATATTCTCGGCTTGCTTTGGAATGCTTGCGTGTAACTATGTCATGTACTTACGTAAGAACAGCATAACTGATGATTGTTAAAGTGATTCCAACCAGAGAAAAAGACGAGCCCACATACGTGAGAATTTTCAGCGCTTTTTCGTCAGTCTTAAAAAATGAAATCAAAAACAGTGATTCAATATTGGTAACGGAAGAGGGCTACACACCATATACCTGGATTAATGCAGATGTAAGAAAAAGTGCCACATCAATGCTTTGTAGTCTTATTGCCTTCTGAAATCAATGCATGTATGCATAGCAATATTCCTACCTCGGGTAAAACTTTACTGCTAGTTCCCTTGTCAAACTGCATAAGAACTGCAAAGTGAGTCAAATGATTGCAGCTGCACTCAGTGTAAGATTCGTTCCTCGATGTTAGGAGGCACCCTTGTCCTGACCAACTAGAATGACAGCAGAAAACAGTTAGAAAAGCAGTCTTTAGATTCTAAATGAACAAAACAAACAAAACAACTGCCAGCCTTACAGACCGCTGAGCACGCGGAAGCCCGAGAAGGAGAAAAAGAAGGAGAAAGAGGTGACCACACAACGTGATGTACCAGTGCACAAAAGCAAAGTCCTTAAGCAAATTGATAATTTGAAGTGAACGATGTCATCAACTCATTCAAATCTGTTTACCTGTTTTTTAAAGTATTCCAAAACACGCAGCTTCTCTTCTGTGCATCCTAAAACCGTAAAGTACCGTTATTGTTACGTAGTACAGCGACTCGCTGGCTAATGTGGAGGGGGTAGTGCTCTCGCCGGAAATTTTCATACCCCACCCCATCACTTTAGATAGATGTAAAGAATTGTTTGCAAGATTTCTAGTCTGTTTCCTCTCTTTAAAGAAACTCCCTAAAGAGAAATAAGACCTTGACGTAATAAGATGATGATAATATTAATGATAATAATAAAAATAAGTAGAAATAGTAACGAAAAACAAATCAAATCAAAACCAAAGAAAAAAGAAAACGCAACCACAAAAGTCACAAAAACATACACGCAAAAAGAAGAGAAAAAAAAAACGAAATCAGTAGTATATGCAACGACAAGCAACAACAACAAGAAAACAAAAACAAACAAAAAATATATAAAAAAAATATAGCAAGACCAAAATGGAACAGAGGGATGCATAAGGGAAGGTTAAATTGAAAAATTTTATCTAAATTTTCCAGAAATACTAGCCCTGTTCAAACTCTATTTCAGAGTTACGAATTCAGATGCAGCTCTTCTTGATTAATTGTAACTTACCACAAGGTTTCTAAATCTCAACGTAACATCCTTTCTGAAAGTGTTGTTCCTCGGCCATATCGTTGCAGACAAGATATTACTATTTAATACCCAATAGATAAACAAACAAAGCAATAGTTAAAAAAAAAAAACAGCAACAACAACAGAAAAAAAGAAAAACAATCAAAAGACAAAAAGATAAATTAATAAAAAGGTAGAAAAACAAAATGAAGACGAAAGAAACAGAAACAAACGAGAAATTCAAATTGAAGTCCAGAAAATTTCTCTTATGCCGTATGTAGGTTATCAGCATACCAAAAGAGATTTATTTGAGATGAAAGATATTATATGCAATACTAAGTTTTAGCAAACCTGATTTTATCGACAGGAACAGAGTCGGTCTGGCCTGCTAGGAATACTTTATGGAGATCTTTGTAAATGACACAAAGTACAACTGATCCTAAGATGTAATAATGGAAACAATTGTAATACTACGAGAATATTGAGAAAAAAGGACAACAAGATATGGTTTGATGCTACTCTGGTTTACAGATTTAATGAATGTAACCGAAGACTACTTTATGGCAAATAGGGTGGTGAGAATCGAAAGCGAGGTATTTGTCAGTCGGTGTGGGTAGGTTTACGGTAGACATTTGTCTCTAAAGTACCCTGAACCCCTCCGGACACATTTAAAAAACAAGAGAGGGCAAATGTCTATCCTTTTAACGCTCAAGGGTGAATTGGATAGACGGCTCTACTGAATTCAAATCCGATAGGAGGCACTCCGCTTCATTTCTGGATACCGCAGAAATAACATCATCGACATATCGTTTCCAGAAAAAGGGTTTAACAGGTGAAGTGGCTAAGCCCCTTCGTTCCACGTCTTCCATTACCATATTGGCAATGACAGCAGAGACGGACGAACCCATAGCTGCACCAAACGCTTGTTGATAGTAGATGCCCTGTACGCAAATTGCGGGGTTTTGAGGCAAAAAGACAGCAGATGAATAATATCCTCTACAGGCAAAGAAGTTCTTTGTCCTAAGGAAGCATCTTCTCTGAGTCTCTCCTCCGCAACCTTAACGGCAAGATCAACTGGGATTTTAGTGAAGAGAGAAACAACGTCGAAAGATACTAATTATTCACAAGCGTTAAGAGTATTATCTCTTATGAAATCCGCAAATTCGCAGACATTTTTACAGTTTAATCAGTATTCCCAACAACAGGCAACAAAATTCTCGCAAGATAACCAGAAATTGCATAAGTCGGAGAACTAACAAAAGAGACAACGGGTCTCAAAGGAATTCCCGGTTTATGAATTTTAAGTAAGCAATAAAAACGTGGACATAAGCCTTCGTTGCTGTATAACATTTTTTACGTACAGTCACTAATCTTACAAGCTTTTTTTTTTCTTCTTTTTTTTTCTAACTACCTTATTTGCCATAAAAATTATGTAGCCAAAACTTTACTCAGGAGGGCTGACTTTCTACCATCTCACTCGATTCGAAAACTGAGGAGAGGAAATATGTTTTTAATGTCCTAAAGGGAAATGGCTATCCAAAAACCTTTCTCCGTAACTTCAATAAACCATTTACAACTAGTAGCACTCCTGATGAAAGGGAACCAGCGACTGGTTTTGCTGTTATTCCTTATATTCAGGTGTTACGGAATCCATCAAGAGAATTTTTAACAACCACAACGTTGAAGTAGCTCAAAAACCTGTTCAGACGAACCGACGCCATTTATTCTATTCCTTGCAATGACTGTGATAACAAATACATCGGACAGACCAAACGTCAGTTTGGTACCCGTTTGAAAGAGCACCAAAAAGTGATTTCTTTTACAAAAAAGAACAGTCAGCTTTATCGGAGCACACAGGCCTTTGTTTGGAAACTTTGCATATTAACTCCACCCACACTCCTTAAATCGTGATGATGGCGGCTTACTTTCTAACGCCTATTTACACCTCTTCGGAGAAAAAGCAGCTAATTAGTGATCATATAAAAGGACCTCTTGTCGCAGCGTTTAGATCACCTCTGATGAAGGCTTTGGACAGGAGTGTCGAAACGTTGGGTCTATGAATTGTAACTTCTTCGGTTACATCCATTGAATTTGTAAACCAGAGTAGCATCAAACCATGTCTGATTGTCCACCTAGTTTCCGTGTGAACTTTGATATAAAAAAAGAACAAGTTGTCACGGTTTAAAGACCCTGTGCGTTTATTGGTATGTTTCATTGGTATGCTCAATTTTGTAACAAGAATAAAAAACTTCGACCAAAGGAGACATAAGCTAATAAAAGAAAATCAATACAACTAGATTAAGATATCAGCCATTCAGCTAGAATTTTCTTTAGTACTTGAAACCCAGCCCCCCTTTGACCAAGAACACTAACAATCGCTAAAATAATTTGAATAATACGACGAAAAGATATATCATTATCTAAAAAAGTGAAAAATATAGCTCTCCAACCTTTATCGAAGCCTGTAACAGGAAGGCTGACGTAGTTTTCTCCTTTATCATCCTCAAATTGAACTCCAGTCTCATTTTCGTGGAAAATCTTCCTGACCAATATATCTAACAGCAAAACAGCGACTTATTTTAAGTGAGGGCCAAAATAAATTCAGATGCTTTCGTAACAGTCACAAATTGTCGGCCTCAAAAGTTTTGGGACAAAAAGGCTGAGGAACCATCACTTAGAGGTAGTAAATGCAAGTAGTTTGCAAGGATCATCATTCAAAGGAGCGTTCTCGATTCAAATGTCACATAAAGTGCTAGTGATCATTGTTACTAACATATATTCGAAGGGTTTTTCATTTTCTTAATTTATTTATTCGTCCTATTCATTTTTTTTTTCACTCCCTCATAGCTTATTCTTGACCATGACGATATTGAAGAACACATGGAAAATAGAAAGAATTCTTGGGAATTGGAGATAACTGATGAGCGATAGGAATCTGCTGATATAAACTGCCATAAAAGAGGTCCAAGGCGTTTCATACCTCACAAAACGTTTAAAAAGTTGTAGCGTTAGCAGATGTTTCTAAAATATGCCACGAATGATGCATGTATTCATCCTGAACTCCGAATTAGAAATCAAGAAAACTTCCAAATCAGCTTTTAAGATCTACTCACCTGCATGTTCACCACGGATGTCAATCTCAGGTACGGTTTGATTAAGGCGATTTTGAGCATAATTTCCGATGACTTCCTCCAAATCAGTAACAGTTAGGAAAGTGCGTTCCATATTTTTTTTAGTTACTTTATTTCCAGGAGAGTTTGTCACTTCTTTTAGGATGGTGTCGACAAGTTTCTTGCCTGGGGACTGAGTTAGTAGTTGGATTAGACAAAACCTTCAGTAGCCTAGCTCTTAAAGGAATTAATAAATTCATGGGTTACACAGTCTGGAAAATTGAGCTTTCTTTAACCAATAAACTTAAGAGGAGTTTAATTTCCTGACGATTCGATCGAACTCTTCTATTTACACGTCATCGCCGGTGGTTTCTAGGTAAAGTGTTACGAACATACTGTCATACATTAAAAATGGAACGACTGATTACAAGATTATAAATAACATAGGAAATACTGATAACATAAGAAAGAACGTACTCGCAATTACATTTCTAGCTTTGCATTATCCGCGTGAAAGTCGAACTTATATCGATAGCTACGCGGACTGTGGTTATGAGGGGAATTGGTTTCTACAGTGTCTAAAGGGGGAGAATTAAAGGACCAATAACAATAGGCACTACAAATGTTACAAAAAAATAAAATACACCTACCTCGCTCAATGGTGTCAGCTTAATGGCAGGAAAATTCAGTTTCCAGCACTTTTTCACTTGGATTCTGCCCAAATACGACGAGTCTGTTGTATTTGTCAATATAATAGATAACTGCATGCGAGTTTTTTCATTTTTTCTGCACCCCCACATTTTAAAACAGTGATCTCTCCAGGAAGACGTCTGACTGAACAAAGAGGCCAACTGCCTACACCAAGAGCTGCAGCAGGTTTTGTCAATAGACTTAGGTGTCTTATTGTCGCATTCCATCCTATGCCAGTACTGACGCATTTTATCACGATGTTGCTGACAGTCCGAGCAGTTCAGCTCTGAGGGCGCGAGTGCATCATTAGGGTGGGAGCAATGCCCATCTGCGTTAGATTCGTAAACATTAATAAGAGACATTTTGCATTGTAAATACTGTTCCTCGTTCATATCATACTGTTTATATTTTTTATCGATTTATTTATTTTTATAAGTATATTACTTGCTTGTCTTTTTTTTTCCACTTGATTCTTTATCCTTTTACTGCTCGAATTCAACCCCAGCTGCTCTTCCCACCCAGTAAATAACGCATTGCAGTTTCGGTTTGTGTTTGTTTGGGTATAGGTCTGTTTTCCTTGTTTTTGTTTTTGTTTTTTGTTTTTTTGTTTTCCTTAGTATCAGTTTCTCACTTCTCACTTTCCATTCGTTGAACAAAGTGGTGAGTGGTTGGTATCGAGAGTTTGTATAAAATAATAATAATAATAATAAAAATAAAAAAAAAAAAGATTATTAGGATGTTCAGAACCCCCAGTTTTTTTTTTCTTAACTTTTTCATAATTGTTTAGGATGGGTCCCGCCTTGAGTAACATGGTACTTTCTAACGTTTCTAGGCCACAACCCCCCTTTTTTTGCTTTTCCTCCTCTTTTGGACAAATACAAGCAATGACATATTAGTGATCTTTTGGAATAGGTCGCTATTTTAGATTTATTTAACAACAGATAATTTATTGTTTAACCTCTGACGACAGGGGTTAATTAGTCGAACAATTTTTAACCTTTATAATTTCTATTTCCTGTTTTTTTTTTTTTTTTTTTGTTTGTTTGTTTTTTTTTTCGCCAAGACAAAACATACCTTGTACTGAAGTCGGAATGGTCATACCAGCTGTAAAAGAGACAAAATAAAAATATATCATTCCCCAATTCACAGCCATACCAAAACAAGGGGTGAGGGACTGTGGGTTTATGTCAGGCTTGCTAGAGAAGGGCCATCGAAAAACAAAGGCAATAGGACACAGAAAAAAGTATTGCTATTTATGACGCAATATCCTCCGGCAAGAACTGGATGGGAAAATGACATCTCATTCAAAAACAACGCACTGAATTACACAAAACATTGAAGGTGGCTTTTGAAGCTGAGGCAAAATCCCTTTCGTTCGCTCAGTGGCTTTTAGCCTTTTATATGAAGGAACGCGGGATGCCATCGACAGTTCCAGATACAAAAAAATTCCTCAAGGAAGTTGCGAGAAACCACTAAAATAACTGCATAGAATGAAAAACTCATTATTTCAGAAGACATGAGGCACATGAAGCCATAGTCCATGTCTATACGTATTTTGTCAATGCATAGAACAGAGATTCGGTGATTGACAGAAATGCTTTGATAAAATAAGTTTTTTTTATATCATAATTAAAACAGTAAAGGTGATATGAATTGGTAAATTACTTAAAAAAAAATAGGCAAATGAAAGAGAAAAGAAAAATTGAACCACCTGACATCCCTTCCCCCAAAAAGGAGAAAGAAAACCATGAATTTATACTTAAAGGACGAATGAACGGACGGATGAATAGATACCATTTGTTTCCAACAAACAGACAGAATGTTTGATAAACTGCTCAGTTCTGTTTTAGAAAAATAGCTGTTATCTTTTTTTTATTATTATTATTATTTCATTGATATTTTAAAGGGAAAGTGCTATACAAACTAAAAGAAGTTTGCCTAAATCAAAAGTTCCTGACTTGCTTTGTGGCTTTGTTGCCTGAAATCACGTTAAAAAAATAAATTAAAAAAGAAAAAAAAAGAATTCAGATTTTAAAATTTAAATCCGCCATCTTTGTTATGAAGTAGTTATGACGTAGCAATGGCCAAGCTGGTAATCTCGACTAATGGGGGTAAAAAATAAAAAAATTAAAATTAAAAAAAAACTAAGAAAACAGCGGCGAGGAGAGCTAAACGACCCAATTCTCGACATGGATCTTAATTCAGACGTTGTAATACGGCCAATCACGTTTAAGCCGTAAAGTGGCTCTTCTTCGGGAGAAGAAGAAATCGCTGTTAACGAAGCACCTCGGGAAAAGATAAAAGGAGAAATATGCAAGCGCTGACGTCTTGTAAACTGCGAGTGGTGCTCTTGCGGCAACTGTTATGAGATGCGAGAGTATATGCTGTCAATAAATGAATTTACATGGAGATCGACTTCATCTGGAATCGAAGATAATTCGTCTCAAGTAGAATCTGTTTTTAAAGTGACCTTTTTTGAGTTTTTACAAAGACACAGCGCAGTGCCGCGACAGATTTATTTCACATTGCTAATTGAGTGATGTAACTTGATCGTCGAAACAGTTAATAGAACCATAAATAAACAAGGTAAGAGTGTTATGTTAGATGTTTTTGCAAATTGTAATGACTTATGCCAGTTAACGGTGGCGACAAGTAGGCGCACTATGCATATTTCATAGTCGCTATCAAGTAAATTTTGCCGGACTTTGAGTTCGTCTCAAGATAAAACAACACAAATACACAAGGAAATTTTTACAGGAACTTTATAACCATCCTTTTTTCTTATAAAAGCTTGAAGCTCAGTAGATTGTGTCATATCGGTCATTGTTAAAACTGTTTTTGTTTTGAAAGTAGGAGAGAAAACGAATTTGGGCGACTTGCCGCTGTTTGTTTGATGCATGCTGACATTAACTCTTAAGAGAATTACCACATAACCTACTTTGAGAAAATAAATATAGGAAGTCTGCTATTCCAAGTTTGTTTCATATATAAAAACAAAGCCTCATGTTACGTGAAGAGCGTCAGGACGTCTCCCGTTGTCGAACACTGTTAGCTTGGGATATCGATCTTATTACAAATGACACCTCAGTGCTTAGCCAAGTAGAATTTGTTTGTTTTAAGTGCATTTGTCTGGGTTCCGCTCCAAACTGGACAAAACGACAATTATTTTCGAATTCCTGTGAAAAAGCGCTCTCATAAATACTGTATATTATATTATTATTATTATTATTATTATTATTATTATTATTACAAATGACACCTCAGTGCTTAGCGAATTAGAATTTGTTTGTTTTAACTGCATTTGTCTGTCCCGAACTGGACAAAACGACAATTATTTTCGAAGAGCTCCGTCAAAAAACAAGCGAAATTGAAAGTACAACATACAACCAATAGCCGCGCTACTAAACATATCGAGTTTTTTAAAGTTTACGCATTTAAAGGTTACTATATTACTTTTTCATACTCACCAACCATTAGTGCAAGAAAAATCATTCTCCAGAACATTTTGGCCAAAGTTTCCTTTCGAACTTTCAGATATGAATTCGGCATTTTTGAGATCACCGTCTCGTGAAACAGCGATGAAGGTATTGGTCTTTGTTCAGTGGCTTTGGGCAGACGTTGGACACAAAGATACGTTAGATCTTGAGCGAACAAGGAAGAAAGCAGAGACCAAACTAGGAGTGAGTTTCTAACACATTATTCCTTGGGTTTGTTGGCACTAAATTGACTAGCTGGGTCCGTATTTGCATTTTAAATTGAGGCAATATAAATACGAAAATACTAATACGAAAGTGTCATGCAAATCACAAGGAAGTAGCAGGTGGCTGTGAATTAAAAATTGCTCAAAGCGAACGTTTTTTTATTGTGTTGGTTAAAGAGGAACCGAAATCTTTTTCACCCTGGGTACTCTTCTCCACATAAACTCCCCTTAATACCGACAAAACAGTTTTCAAACTTGTTATTTTCTTAATATAAAATAGCGGATGACAAGTCAATGAGTCACACAACTGTTTTTTCCCGGTATCTTTTGAAATTCTAATTCACCCGTAGGTTGGGCACCCACTGACGTATTTGTGTTAATGACATCGCCACTGAGAGACGTGTAATGAATGAGGATTAAAATAAAACAAAGGGTGTCTAACTCAGTTGGTGTCCTTAGTGATAACTGAGCCGAATTTCCTGGTGTGCATGACGAACTGAAATGAGGTTGAGCAAGTTTTACTTGATTAAAGAAGAAATTTTAAAATGAGTATTTTATCATGTCTGCCAGGGGAAATTTTCGGGTTGAGCCTCCATCTAATCACAATATATTTTCATTTATTTGGCACCCCTAAATGAAAGACCGAAAAACAAAAAATGTTTTTACTTCCACGATTTCAAACAGATACACCTTCAAGAATTTTAACTCCTTCAACTATTTAAGTGGCGATTCACGAATATAGACTTTCTTGAGAGACTAAAAATTAGCTAAGCTGACCGCAGATAGCAATTGAAGATTGTAAAATAGAGATTTTAAACATCACTCTATTGGTATCAAAGGGAATTAAAATATTTCATTTTAATGCCGACAAAACGAGAATTATTAGGTCAAGGAGACAGAGAAAAACGAGAAAACGAAAAATTAAGACGGACTCTAGGATGTGATAACCATTGCTACTTCTTTTACTAACGTCATGCAACGTCTGCAAGGCCTTCAATAATAAACCTACTGATGGAAAATTCTCGCATATTTTAGCACTGCAATAAGGCGCCTTGGCCTCGTGTATCCAACGAAAACTTCATAATTTTCACTTGACTAGCGGCGCACTTCAAATTTACAGTTTTTCTTGAAATATTGCTTATTCAGACTGCTTCACTTAGGCCCTACATAGCGATGTAAAAGGATTTGATGTCAGTCTCACTTATTGCAGAGTGAGACTATAAACGGTTTGATTCCAAATCGTTCCCCCTTATGGCTTAAAAGGATCTTAACATTTTAGCTTGTAGATTCATTATAACATCTTCAATGTCCAATTGTCATAGTTACACACATAAATAGGAGGACGATGGGTAGATTAACATCGCCCATACACAGGTGGCGAAGGATTATAAAGGATAAGGTTTTTCATATATATACAGCATTTCGTTTTGTTTCGATGTTATTTTCAGTTTTCTCCTGCAAATCAAACTGAAATCTGTGCTTGTGACTATCGGGTATCCAGCTCTTAATCAATCGAAAAACGATACAGACGCGGTACACAAAAAACCTAATATTCTAAATCTACCACTCTTTGATTTGTTTTCAGTTGAAAACTGTCAGAGTATTTATATCAATGTCCTATGTTGACAATCACTGAGGCAGCATGACTGGTTTTTGCAATTAAGATGCCAAACGTATGTCACTCTAACACATGGTGTTTCTTGGTCGATTATTTTAGTTGTCCTTATCAGCTCATGTTTGGCGGAGGCAAAATATGCATTATAGCAAATAATCGCAATTGCCCTATCAATCTCTCATGTGGAAAAGCATTTGCTTCTTTGTCTGTCTTTTTTCCAGATTTTTGTTTTTGTTATTGTTTGTAAAAAAAGTGACAACAAGACAGACAATCCGTAACTTTTACAAAAGAAGAAGGAAACAGAATTGATTGGGGCTAGACTTCGTCATTCAGATACGCTACGCCCAGTCCTTACATGGCCCATGTATGCGCAGACCGCGGAAAGTCTAACCATTCCGTAATTTAGCCTATCCTCACAATGTTCACAACGTTCTGCAGAGCAAAACCGGTGCAGTAACGTCTAAAGCAGTTTTACGAGACCATATCAACCAAATTACAAAGCCTCAACTTTGCCCCGTTTTTTTAAAGGGGGACGCCAAAATTGTGTTTCGTATAGAAGAGAACAAACCTACGCTGTAAAGGAACATGCTATGTTATTTCAAGTGTTAAATCTTGATCGTTTCCGCCCTTTGAAAGCGGATTCAAATCTCATACATGTTTATTCATCCACTGAATAAACATTCTAAGAAAATGAAATATCGTTTTGTGCGGTCATTAGGAGTTAGCAGAATTTATTCAAAATGCATATGCATATGCATCTACAAAATGGCAAATCATAGGTAAAAACTGAAAAGTATAATATTGTCTTGTATAGAAAAAAAATGGTGCTCTGATTGCAAATCACAGACAGTGCACTGACAAGCCAACTTAAGGTTGGCATTAGCTGACGAAAAACTTTAAATAAATCAGGACTTTCTTCTGTAGAGATAATGACCTATCTTTTTTTCCTTATTCTTTTTTTGTTTAGCTTCGCCTTTTTTCGTGGCTTTCCAGTTAATGTTCCATTTTGATATTATATAATATCTGCCGGATTTCTAACTTGCAATATTTTGCTTAGGTATGCCTTACTACGAAATTTCAATTTGCTGTTATGTACCATGTAGCATGTTGCAAACTACATGGAGGTTTAAGTTGTTCAATACTTTTTTAGTTTTTTCGGTGTCACTCAGTGGCTGAACCTTTATTTTTCTCGGCGCAGCAATGGCTGTGGAATCCTCATTTACTTCCGAGGGCATTACAGATGTTTTCTTTGTGCTAGTTCCATCATCCATTGCTGGGAAGATTGCCTGAAACCTTCTCCTCGAACGAGCTCTTATCTATAAATCGCAAGTTTAATTAGCCACTTTATTACATTCAAAGAATTTGAAATTCGTAGTCTTTTTGTTTTTGACTTTGTATTGTTCTATGGTATGGATGGAAATTCAATAGCGGCCAATTTTCACAAGCCATACCGAAATTTGACGTCATACAGTTATCTCTGTTTAGTGTGCATCAGTAGTCTTGACGTAGCACCCTTCTCCTGACCAGCCAATGGAACTGAAGCGTCAGATGGATAATTTATCGATCAAGTGAGACTCTAGTGCACAAGTCATGCGAACGGGGCCCCATATCTAATAATATATATTAATATATATATAACTTATCAAAGTAATAAAAAAAAGGAAAAAAGAAATGAATAATTACCACTTTTTAAAGCTTGTAGCAAACAATGGAGTAGGAAAAATAATTTCTTTCTTTTTTAAAGAAGCTTACCGATATTGTTATAATTTTCAGTTTACACAACAATCAGTCTCGCTCTCAATAATTTCTTAGCAATCAGTGTTGAGCCACTTCTTACGACTATTCAGTTTATGACTAAATAGAGATATCAACCATGAGTTGGAAAGGACTGATAACCTATTACTTCGAGTCTTGAATGGTTCACCTAACGAGCATTAGCTGTTCATCTGACGAAGACCTTTTGAGTTATCTCGTCAGAAGAGCAGCCACATGAATTTACATGTCATTCGTGAACAGTGTGTCCGTTGGGAAATGAAGAGTTATTTATTTTCGCTTGCTTCTTTACTAACCCTTTGATTTCAATGTGTTGTTATGCACTTCTCCCAAAAAGTTGCTCTTACTCCCTTTATTCAGTTATGTCAATATAACACTCTTAGACTGAAAATCTTGTCTATTGTCAAAACCTAAAATACATGTTGATATGCGGAGCCACTCGTGCTTCGTTGCCACCGTGTAGTTCTGCTTAAGTTCTTTAGTTACTACTCGTATTCGATAAAATACTTCACCACACCTTTGAGGCCAAAATCAGAGACTTTTCCCTCGTTTCCATTTCACTACCCCAAACGACAGAGGATTTTCTCTAGGTAATAAAATAAACCCTAAGAACTTTAAAGTCTCCCACAGCCCCACTGTGAAGTCATTCGCCTCAGGCCATTTGTGTTCTGTCCAGACAAGGCCATCAGAGTTCAGATCACAGTTAACCATATAGACACCAGTGACAAATTATACTTACATGATGCCGGTGTGTCCTGGGTTGAAAATGTCAGCTACGATAGATTCACCGCGTGCGTGATGGCGGCCGGGTAAAACGAAAGACATGCAAATGCTATATGACAGTTGATTGGATGGTTTACCAAGGGGCACTAGTAGGTGGAGTTGCTAATGAAGTGCGGTTATCACCATGGTTGACTGGAACGACCTCGGTTAGTGAAATAAACTGTCTTATAGTAAATGTTTTGAAAACAAAAACGAGTTTCTCTGCAAAACCGGAGACGTGCTCAGCTCGCAGTGACGATCTTGCATAGTTCTTTCTTTAATCATACTAAAGTAATTTCTCCCTCATTACACAACGTGCCATGTATATTGGAAGGTTTTATACGAAGCTAATTTTCATTTTGTGTTTATTTTGCTATCCGATATTTGAGATTGGATAAAGGAGATGAAGTCGTGTAACTTCAGTGTTTGAGAAATCACAAACATGTGAACACGCAAATGATAATAAGTACAACAGCGTCTGCGGAAGCACTAGATTAATCCATCATAAAAAGTACCGCTTCTAACACAAAAAGTTATGGTTTCTGTGCTCGTCCTTTTGACAGGGAAAATTTTCTGTGATGCCATTAGTATTTGTAACAGCTGCTCATCATCAAGCTGGACTGAAACGTGACGCTGCAAGTGTTTGGATCGAAGATGTCATGCAATCTCCATTCAAAGTCTGCTTAAGGGAACTTCAGAATTATGCGGGATCACACGAAGATGTCTAAGTTGTAAGCATTACACTTTCCTGTTACATGCGCTTATTAACTCTAAAGAAGTGCAATACTGTTTTGTTTTTCTTGGTTTTTTTGTTTTGTTTTTGTTTTTTTATTTTCTTTATTTTGTGTAGTTACACTGGTGTTTTTCTTGTCTGCTTTTGTTTTTATCGAGTTGTCGTATTTTTCAAGGACAGTTTAGAGGTCGACCAACCGCACTTTAATAGATCAACGCAAAACTTACAAAAAAAAATTTAAATAAAAATAAACGCGGAAGAAGAATTACAAAAATACAGAGATGATAACAATTTCTTTTTGTATTCAGACCATTTAGTAATGGCGATTTTTTGTTATTTACATATTTCGAAATGGTTGGCATTCTCATCTCTCCACAAACCTCTCTTCTCTGAACACAGTTCAGTTTACTTTGCTAATTCACAGTGGCCAGCTGCTGGTCACAACAGGGCCCATTGCAACGTACAGCTGAACCTAGAAGAGCTTTTTCAAACCCAATGCATCTTTTTTTTCTCGTAAAAACGTCTTTTCATTCTCGCCTGAAAAAACATGTTCCAGAACGGGTTGTGTTGCCTTTCTTTTAAACTGAAGCGTAATGACAAACACCGTTCTTCGCTGGGTCTCTGCAAGAAATCTTCCAGCTGAAAATCGGAAAAAAATAAATTAAAAAAAAACAAATAAACAGAACGGCAGACAAACAAAATATGACGGAGGCTGGGGATTTTGATAAAACTAAAACATCATTTGGATGAAATTAATTGTTTGTCCGGGCCTAGTTATTCGAAGACCGATTAGCTAAACGATGAACAAATAATTATTCGGTTTTTTTTATCCCTTTGCTCAAAAGCTTTTTCTGGATTATTTCCTGTATTCCTTTAAGAGCAGCTTTGAAGAACCCGGCCTTGATCAATTTTTCCAAGGTTTTGCATTGCGCTTGCTATCTTTGAACGGGGTTTTACTAAATTTACGATTGCATTCGATTTCTCTTTACATAGGATGTCTCATTTATTCAGAGGTTCAGCAAAATCCCAAACGTGTTTGTCTCTGCAAATCATTTAACCAGGGGTGGTAATCTGCAACCGATACATAGTGGAATAGCTGCTTGGGTTGAGGTCGGGTCACGTATTTTGTCGACTTCTCAGTATCTTCAAGTTTCTATATAACTTTCATCTTTTTTTCTGTTTTTCACTTTTTTTTTTGCCTTGGGAAATCTGCTATCTGAGTTTCAAGTTACTGCAGGAGTTAATATTTTATTTTGAGTTTGCTGTATATTGAACTCGTTGGGTTTTGTTTATTTCGCTATCTTTTTTCCATTATTTCTTCATGAAGTTTCACCGAATGATTACTGAGCTTTAACATAAGTATTTAATTCTACCATATTTCATTCTTTCCTAGATTTCATTTCATTTAATTCTTGTAGTTATTGTTATTACTTTTTTTCTTTAGTACGTCAATGAGACAGGATTCAGAGTTTGTCTGAAAGAGTTGTACGAGACAAAATCCGACCCCCTTTCAGTTTCTTATACTGTTTTGTCAGGTGAGAATATGGCTAGGCTTGTAAGTGCTGAGGGATGTTCAATCGCAACAAGAGATATACAATCTAGCATAAATTAAGTACCTAAGAAAAAATTTTGGGCCCTCAAAGCAAGTGCCAAAATTACCCGTGAAACCCATTGGTTTTCCCATGCTTTGCTCCTTTTTACTCTTTTTTTTTTCATTAATTTATTTGTTCGTTTTTTGTTTAGCGTTATTATTAGACATAAAAAATAATAATTAAAAAATAAAAAAAATTAAAAATTAAAAAAACCTACAACCGTTTTAGGTAAACAAACGCAGAACTAAAACCAACTACTCACTAGCAACTCATATTTTACCACAATAATACTGCTATACGCGTGTTAATTTTGTTCCTTATTTTCTCTTTTCACCCAGATATATGCCAACCAGGGTGGGGTTACTTCGAAGGATACTGCTACTTCACAAGCCTCGCTAGCTTGCCATGGCTTGCTGCTGAGTCTAACTCCTCTGCAATGGGATCACAGTTGGTGACTATACACAACCAAGAAGAAAATGTGTACGTTCAGCATCGACATAACGGAGAGAGATCTTGGATTGGACTCAATTATCGGAGTGTGGAAGGATCATTTGTTTGGACCAAAGAAGCTCGCTTAATGCTTCTTTCTTTATCTGCAGTTGGGGTGACACGAGTGATCCTTCTTTTGAAGCGAGATCTAATCTGTATGAATAAGTTGATATCAAAGCGATCTCAAGAATTGTATAACAAAACGTGCTTCGAAGAACTTGACAACCATCGGATTGAATTGAATTTCTTATTTCAAAGTGGAAGCCCCACCAGGTAAAAATCTAAGCAAAGGTCCAAGGCTGATGAAGAGACTCTAAAATTAAATCGAATAGCATACCTCCGAGTTTCTCACGCAGTGAAGGATGAATATTAAGAAGCCCTGTTAAATCACGTTAACGCCTTTAGTAGTTCATGGAAGTATTAAAATTGTAAAGAGGGTCGGTGTTTTTATGGACAAAGATTGGAATCATGATCTGTTTCTCTTATTATTTTTCTTTTTCAACCCTTTAATTTCCATGACTTGAAATTTTGTTCTTGGGAGTTAAAGGGTGTGCTTTAACTTTTGAGTTGGTACAACTTACCAACTCAGTAAGTACAACGACTACAACAAATATCCAGCTCATGCCGTTACAGAATGACATTCAGCAGCTGAATAAAAAGTAAGTATCCGAAACTTTGATAAATTATCAATTAATTAATTAATTACTTTTTGCGAAAGCATGTACTATAGTATCTCACTTTGTTCTCAACAGCCCCACTTCCGGTTAGGAAGATAATTTGACCTGCTCCAAGTGAAGCGATTAAACTCACTTGAATAAGAGATAAAGATCCCTTCATGTCTCTAATCAAAATCAAACAACTGAAAGACCCCTTCCCGACACTTGTTGCCGCCACTTGTTCGTGATGTTGACATCTTTTAAAAATTAACACAATGCCAAATTAAAGTACATCTGTTCTATCTGTGATGTGGGGAAAATGTCGCAAAATGTAGGTAAGGTTTTTCTTTTTATCGATGACTGCCTAACAACTGTTGTTCTTTAACCAGGCGTAGTTGGACCTCACGCAAAATAAGTATTTGCAGCATTTGACACGTCAAACAGTTGCGAAACAAAGTCAATTTAGATTCATTAATAGACATCACATAAGGGATGGGACGAGAAGTTTAAAATACAAAATAATTTGACATGAATTCTATGTTATCTTAACCTGGTGCTAAATCAATACGCACAAATATTTGTTACAAAGATCGCTCTGGGGCATTCCTTTTTTTCCTGAAAGTTAGCAATAATCCACTAAATTCTGCCGGTTTTTTTTTTTTTATTTTAACCGAAAAAGTTTATTTGAAAGTATTGATTTGTTTTGTTTTTGTGATTTTGTCCATATTAGTGATATGCCGCAACTTTGGATAGACAAGCAATCATAAATGTTTTCCATTTAAGGAACATGAAAGAAAATCCTAACTTATACTCGAAAAAACTGCAGGGAATACGTATATTTCTTTAAATGCGATCCATTCATAAATCATGGTTATGATTTTGAAGGGTCTTAATAGTAAGGAGTACATTCTTGTTTATGAGACCTTAGCTTCAAGCTTAGTGGAGATGTCAAATTAAAGGTGATAATATACTCACCTGGATCAACCGTTACAAAATAAACTGAACTGACTGCTAACGTATACCAAAGTGCTTTCATCATTCCAAACTTGAGATACGCCATGAAGACCCAAACGTCAAAGATAGCTTTTCGTTCCTTAATCTATTTTTAATGATGTATGAAGTAGATCCAATTTAGCACCAGATATTTCCAGCTGTGTATTTTATTTTGTAATATTGATCTGATCTTTTAGCGAACAAACAATTGTCCAATGATTTTTTTTAAATATTTTTTTCCGGCTTGAACGGAGTATGGCGGGGTAATTATGTAATGCATTCGGGTGATCCGAAGGAAAAAAAAAAAAAAACAGGAACAACTAGCTTTTCTGCTGACGTTTTAGGTCTCAGAGTCCCGGATGAGAGTAATTGCCAATTGCCCCTTAATACACCATATGCTAACTAGCATATTGTTGATGGAAACCGAAATATACCAAGAAATTGATCCGGCAGTAAATTCTTTAACTTTATGAAAGAAAAAAATAAAAAAAAATAAAATAAAGATGGAAGGAAGCACAATGTGAGGTTGAAGACCCTGTGAGTACAGGAGAAAGATTTGAGCTTCAGTCCTCAATGGGAGAGAAGCTCAAATGGAGATAACTACACTAAAGAAATTTGTAGCTCATCGGAGGAACATGTTTGCGAGCTTTGCTTCGCTGTTTCGTAGTTTTATGTAGAGTTTTCTGACTTTGGAGATAAATATCCTAAAATTTGTCGAGTTCACGGGGGAGCACTCCATACAGTTTTACTGGCGTGGGCTGGGGTATCTCGTGCTTAAGGATCAGTCACCATGTACCGACGAATGGGGGATGGGGTGGGGGTGTGGATGACAATTTTTGGGGGGGCAAGAAAACTTGGTTTTCAGTGGGAACAAGAGGGGATTAGGGTTGATTGAATATTGTAGGCTCAGCCAAATCTTATAGTGGCACAAAGAAACCAACATCCTACGCACCCACCCCACCCCCTCCTTTCCCTGACGATAAACGATAATCGGTCCCTAAGTATATGGTTTATGTATGTTTGTATTTATGTTCCTTTCATTAGTAAAGTTTTCACAAAATAGTTAATCGTTATTTACTGCCAACTTTATTTGTGTACTTAATAAATATTATTTGCACCAAAATTGATTTATACGGTACAGGCCTGATTACTGGTTAAATGATCAATCAGTATATCATATACTCGTGTTCTCTGGCAACTTGATTCTAGGACAAATAGTTTTTCCATAGAATACCAATGATGCCAGGCAAGTCTCGTTAAATATCATTAATCAAGCTAAGTCTGTGGTTTATAAAATTACTTAACAGCTGGACGAAGAAAAAAGCATAAATACAAATTGAATTAATTTGAATCAGCTACAGCCTAAGCAACATAAGTGAAGCTATTTACTAATTCATATAGTATTTTCCCATTTTATAGGCAAGAGAAAAGTTCAAGGTCCACTGATTACTCTCGATCCTGCGCAGGAATCCCGGTATCATTGTGACTCTGACGGGCTTGAGAGTTTCCTCTATTGTCACCTGGCCTTTGATTAAATGCATCTGGGAGGAGTTTTTGGACTCTTCTTTTGAAACGCCCCCTTATCTGGATACGAATTAGGTCAAATTAGAGGCACTTATTATTTGTAACCAGTTTTTCTTGATATGAATTACAGAGACTCAAAATTTATATTTACCTCACTATTTCCCAAGCAGTGAAAGAAGAAAATGAACAATCCCTTTAAAGAAATATAGATATGACTTTACTGGTTGATAAATAAACAGATAGGCAAATAGATGCAGAAATAAAAGTAGCTTTACCCCTTTTTTGTTTGTTTTGTTTTGTTTTGTTTTTTTTTGTCGTGAATGTAGGGTTGTGTTTTCTAGAACAACTCGGCTGGAGATCTTCTTTCCTTATCATCTACGATCGATCACTTATTTAAGGCTTAATTTTCCGAATACAACTCTATCCATCAGAAGTAATCGATTCATGGTGGCTTAAGCAGAGCTAAAGCTTTGGAGATAAAAATGCAATTTCAAAAGGGAGGTTTAAATGGTCTTGAGTCGGCTCTTTTTCGGAGGGTCACGGGTCTGGCGTTTAAAAGAAAATCTGAATTATCCTTCGATATGGAGACACTTTTCAGTATTTCTGACACACATCACGCCGTAAGTACGCCCTTATTTCTACCCATGAGCACAAGCTTTACCAAACCTTAAAGGTTGTAGATGACTTTACCTGAGTGGAATTAAGGATTACAAAAATGTAGGAGAAGGCGATGTGTAACGGCGCGAGGAAGCCAATCAGCCACGTGACACCCAGCAATGGAGCTAACACCACGCATGCACGGACACCAAGCCTGGAAGATGAATAGTCGCTCTGAAAACACAAGCTTTTAATCTGAATTCTAGATCTTTTTCCACTCCAGTAGAAGTAAAGAAAGATTGAAAACTCTTGGCTTAGATTGAACGCAATGAATAGCCGATATAAAATGTTAGGAGTAACAAACGAACCAGTTTGAAGGTTCCTCATCGAAAACAAACTATATTTTATGTGCTAGGGCGTCTTTCAAAGCACGTCAATCGGAGACCAGTGTTTCCTAAAGAGATTGAAGTTTAAGCTTTCTACCAAAAACAAACAAACAAAAATATTTACATTATGGACCCCATTTAGGGGAGAAGCAATTCTTATCATCCCACCTGATCTGCTCAGTCTGGCTATCTTTCACCAGTTGGATTGTTGTCACTTCCTTGATAACTCGCACGAGGATCATCACGTTAATCTTCAGGCATTAAAAAGGAAAACAAAAGAAGAGGGAGAACACGAAAAGAGAAAAATGAAATATCACACAAGCTTCTGTTGTAAGTTTTTCTAGAGGACTTTCAAAGGCTCACCAAGAGAATAGAAATAATTGAAAAACTGTTGTTCTAATCAACGTTGAAGTAAATATGTTTGGATGACTAAACTCCTATCTGTAAAAATTCAATACGTTGCCACTTACAATTGCGATCAATCCAACAAAGGAAACAAATATCCAGATGATATTGTTAGAGGAAGACATCCAGCAGCTTAGAAAAATAAAAGGCACAGGGGAACAAACTTTTAATTTTTCCACTTTAAGAGCAGCATTTAAGGGCGTTTCGAGGCAGAAGGTCAAATCAAAACCCGTGCTTAATGCAGCATGTTGCCTTTATATTACTTTGCAAAATTACGAAAAGAAGTCATCTTGTATAGTAATTTACAAACTCTTCATCTCCTATAATAATACATAGAGAAATCCACAGCCTGAAAGAAGGGGGTGCCTTGTGGTTAAGAAGAGGGAGGCGGGAAGGGGAGGGGGGAAGACCAGTTTGGTAGGCTGAAGGTTGAAATTATTAAGCCCTTGCACTCCCTGCAGTCCTGGTTTAAAAAAATTAGGATGGAGAGACAGGAGAAGGTGACATGAAGGCACCAAAGTCCTTCTCCCGTCCCCCGTTTTTTTTTCCTTTTTCTGTACAGGTTCATGCTTTCAGGGTTCCATCATTTTGTATACAGTATATAAAATAAACAAACTTTCAAACTTACCTTTCATCATTAACAAAAGTTTCGATTCCATCATTTCCTGTAGCGATACCCAGACATACAACAACTATGATTGAAGGCAGTCCTGAAGAAAGTAATAACGAAAATAGGTTATTATGCGATTATTTGAATTTCCAGTCTGTATTTTTATGTTATTAGTCATGAAACATGTTGATTGTGAGTATGAAATTACTAATACACCGTGAATTAGAAAAGCTGCGTGATTTCAGCCAACTACATCTGCAAGCATGTCTAGGTCTAATGAGCACCGGAAATATTTTAAGATTGACAAAGGTACACGTCAAGACGATCCAATGGTTTTCAAAAACTGCGCATGTTCATTTAAAGAATTAAAAAATGAAGCCATTTTAAGAAAGTTTATTCGTATCGGTTTTAGCCAATCACAATCAAGATATTTTGTCAAGTACATTCTTTAAGACCTATCCTGTTTTTTAACATATTCCTCACCCCAGCAAAAGCCATGATAGCGATACTTTTTGTCGGTAATGTTGTAAACCTTTACAACAAATAAATAGATATAAATCCCCTCGACAAGCATCCAGCAAAAACTGGCCATCAGGAAATACTGCATAAGAGCTGCCACAGCTACACAGGCAGCCTGCAAGGAAAAGGTTATCCGTAAAAATGTAATAATTCGCCCGTTAAATGGTATTTTTCAAAATAGTAATCCAAAAAACAGAAAGAAACAAAACCAAACAAAACAGAACGAAAATAGTAAGAAAACAGACAAAAATTGCAACATACGTAGAAAATATGCCAACAAAAAAAAAAAAAGCAAAAATATCCAAGGAACAGTCAGTATTTAAATCAATAAGAAGCTAGATCTATTAAAAAACAAACAAACAAATAAACTAACAAATCACAAGAACAGCAGCATCAACTAAGCAACACGAAAGTAGGAGTTCAAAGAGTCACCTGGTTTCCCGTGGAGTCAATTCCAGCGTAAAAGATGATATGTCCTGCTCCAATGCAGGAAGTCAGACTAACCCGTATGTGACACAAAGCTGAATTTCTGTCTCTGCAAATAAGCCAAAAAATAGTAACGAAATGAAATTCATTTAGCAGTCAAAAAAAAAAAACAAAGCTAACGCCAATGAATGGCAAAGGAAACCATCTAAAAGATAATTGTAAATCATTCACCAAATGGAGGAATAAATACGCTGACATAATACATGTTGCATTAATTGATTAGTGAATAACGAATGGATAAAAGAATAGTGACTTGAAAGTTTCCATTTTATGGTTACGTTTATTTGAAGCAATTTTCACTCGTTGCCGAAATATCATTTTTAAAGAGAGATCATCTCAGAACGTTTGATTTCTTTTCCAGGTATGAGCAGTCCGTTTTGACATCGATGTAGAACTGATCTAATTCCATTCTTCTAAATATAGTTAATCTCCTACAATTCAGTAATGTAGCAGTGTTAGTTAAATGTACTTACGTAAGCTGAAGATAGCTGATAACCGTGAGTATAACTCCAGTAAGAGATAAGGCCATCCCTACTCGAGTGAGGAGTGTCAGAATTTTGTCATGCTCATCTGACGAACGAGTTTTATCCTGATTGAAAAACTGTAAACGTCATAATTATTTTATTTTTTATTAAAGGAAATGTACATTTTAATGAATATAAATGAATGCGATACCTTTCATGCCTCTCTGTACCTTTTCAGATCTATATGACATTATTTTGTAGTAAAAAATAATATCCACCTTCCTGTCATCAGCATCGTCGATGAAATCCATGAGTACAGCGAAGTGAGTGAGATGATTGCAAACGCATTCCGTATGGTGATCGGATATCATCTTTGTTTGACATCCTTTACTTGACCAGCTCCAAAAGCTTTAAAAAAGAATTTGATAAGGAGAAAGGAGTCAAAGTAGCTTATTCGACTGGAACCCCTTCCTCCCTCCACCTGAAAAGACTTCAATTCACTCCACCAAATGCTGAAAAGTATTTCGGATACTTTTACATTCCACTCAAATAGTTTTAGCCCCGATGAAAAACTGGAAGAATTCACGCCATTGATAAAATTTATGTCACATGGTGCTTACTTTTCTTCAGAGAATCTCCAGAATACACATATTCTTTTTTTACGATTCACCTAAAGGAAAAAAAATCGAGGCTCGGTGATGCATTACTAGTAGCTGACTCATAACTATAGAATATTAACGTAACCCTCCAGGTAAAATAGTAATTCTTAACATGAAGGTCCTTGGGACTACCCATTAAAGAGATCTAACATCCATTTTGTGGTGACTTCAAGGTGACGAAATTTGAAAATTGGCGGGAAGCCTAATGGGATGTAATGCTAATTTACTAAGTCTTGGGCAGTCTTCAAATCGTTAGCCACTCATTAAATCCCAGTTTGAATTAAGGCAAAAGATGACAACATAATCACCTATATGTGGGATGCATGAACTGTTGGTGTTCCCCTTTCATGAAACAAACAAGCAAACAAGCAACGCCAATTAAATTAAATAAAAAATAAACAAATAACAGATAACGAAAGAGTAACTGACTCGTAAGGCGTCATAGCTATAGAATATTAACGTAACACTCAAGTAAAATAGTAATTCTTCATATGAAGGTCCCTGGGACCACCCATTAATGAAATCTAACATCCATTTTGTGGTGGCTTTAACGTGAGGAAATTTGAAAATTGGTGGGAAGCCTAATGGGGTGCAATGCTGATTTACTAATCAAGCATCGGGAAGTCTTCAAATCGTTAGCCAGTCATTAAATCCCAGTTTGAATTAAGGCAAAAGATGACAACATAATCACCTATATGTGGGATGCATGAACTGTTGGTGTTCCCCTTTCATGAAACAAACAAACAAACAAACAAGCAACGCCAATTAAATTAAATAAAAAATAAATAAATAAAAAATAACGAAAGAGTAGCGTATACACCTGCGCGTTCTTAAAAACCAATGTGATGTTTTCTGTTAGAACATTAGGCGGAGGGTCTATTACAGCGGACATAACTACACTGTCAAGTATCCTGAAATAAAGCAAATCGAATGATCACAAAACAGTAAAATAATTTTTTCTATTTGTTCTTCAGTTATCAAATAGATTATACATACTTTGTTTTGTTATCTCCCTTAGTGTCAGCTGAATAGTTTGAAAAAAGCTTAGCAAGATTGCTATATTCGAGCCCAAGTACTGTGGAGTCTGTTAAAAAGGTAAATGAGAACTGCATTGATTTCGGCTTCCAAAAATGTAATTTTATTTAAAAATGGCGGTGGCCTTTAAATGCTCTGGGCACTAATGCTATTACAGACTGCTAAATCATGACAAAGCGCAATATTCAATTCTTTTTTAAAGCATAAAGTTTATTCGTAATGACGCCCAAAAAAGAAAAAAAAAAAGAAAAAAAAGAAAGAGACTCGAGAAATTTAAAAACAGAAACCGATTTGGTCTAAGATGAAGGGGAAAGGGAAAAAGTAAACAAAAGCTCACTGTAGTAAAAGCACACTACGTGTGTATTGCATATTTGATAATGCACGTCGGAATGAAGCCATTTCCACAGAAGAGTTGGCCAAAAAGTTATGGGCAATCGTCTGGTAAGAAACTGACTCAAAACAAAGAAGGCTTTTTACCTCGATCCAGATTAGCTGACGGAATCTTAATAAAGTTCCCGCGATTACTTCCATTGAACAGAAAGTCATCCCCCCTCTGTAGGACATTGCGTCTAACTCGAAAGTCTATATTGATAAAAAAATTAAAAAAAAAAGGAAAATGGTACAGCTTCGACGTGTATTTTCACTCGTCTACAAAGTACGACTACATATAGGTGATGAGCATAATTAGGCAATGACCCGCATGACTAGAGAGTATTCAGTTGCATAACTTCCAACTAATGATTTTGCATGCAATTATTTCTCTAAAGAATTGCAAGCCATAGTTAATGCTTCTGATACAGCACGCGTGTTCAGTATTAGCTAATGTAAACGATAGTGGTACTGGCTCTTAATGTACACGTAATGCTTGCCTAAACTCACACATTAAAAAGCTCTAAAATAAAATAAAGATGAAGGACTATTTTGCACTTACTCAGATCTTCATCGACTTCAATAAGTTCGGGACTTGTAACGCCCAGGCGCTTTCTGGCAAAGCTTAATATAGAGCTTTCAAAACGGAACGAAGCAAAAAAAGTATCCTCCACTTTTTTATCCTTTGATGACTTGTCTCTCCGTCGTGAATTCTCGGACCATATACTTTGGATTGAAGTTCTAAACTGCTGTTTTGCATTCTTCATGAAAAGAGGTATAGTTAGCAGATTTCAAGAGTTTTAACAAGTAACTAGGCTATTCTTTTGCTAAACGATATTTCTGGTGAACTTGAGTATACATCGTGGCTTCTCGCTCTTGTCGCATTTAAGAAAAACAAAGTATGAGAGAAACGGCTGGTGAGCAAGCGTTCAAATCCTCAATCAATCCATGAGGAACAAAACTAAGTAAGTTTGAAACCAGCCAATCAAGCCGCAAAAACAAAAACACAAAACAAAACAAAAAAAAACAAAAGCAAAAACAAAAACAAAAAAAAAAGAATCAACTAATTAACTTAACACTAAGCGATCAATAAAGAGTAAACTAAAATACAAGCTAAAAAAAAATAATGTTAGGTGAGATAAACATTGAAACTGCTGCTACACCATCATCTCCTGTACCTCGACTATGTTTTCGGGACCACTGATATCACTGTTAGTGCCTCCATTCTGTAGCAAAACAAAACAACACCAACAAAAAACCAATCAATCAATTAACTCATCACTAACCGATCAATAAAAAGTAAACTAAAATAAATGCTAGGTAAACATAACGTAAGGTGAGACACACATTGTGAACATTGTAAACATTGTAACAATGAACTAATTAACTCATCACTAACCGATCAATGAAAAGTAAACTAAACTAAAATACAAGCTAACAAACAGAATATAAGGTGAGATAGACATTGAAACTGCTGCTACACCATCATCTACCGGTGAGTCTTTGGTGTTTTCGGGACCACTGACATCACTGTTAATGCCTCCATTCTGTAGCAAAACAAAACAAAACAAAACAACAAAAAAACCAATCAACCAATTAACTTATCACTAACCGATCAATAAAAAGTAAACTAAAATAAATGCTAGGTAAACATATTGTAAGGTGAGATATACATTGTGAACATTGTAACAATGAACTAATTAACTCATCACTAACCGATCAATGAAAAGTAGACTAAACTAAAATACAAGCTGACAAACAGAATGTAAGGTGAGATAAACATTGAAACTGCTGCTACACCATCATCTACCTGTGAGTCTTCGGTGTTTTCGGGATGAGTGACTTCACTGTTATTGTTTCCACCCTTTAGCAAAAAAAAATAAACAACAACAACAACAATAAAAACAATCAAATAATAATTAACTTATCACTAGCTGATCAATCAAGAGTAAACTAAAATAAAAGCTAAATAAACAGAACATAAGTTGAGATACACATTGTAAACTTGTAAACATTATAACAATTAATTAATCAACTTATCACTAACCAATCAATCACAAGTAAACTAAATTGAAATACAAATAGATAAACAGAATTTAAGGTGAGATAAACATTGAAACTGCTGCTGCACCCTCATCTACCTGTAAGTCCTTTAGCGAAAACAGAATGATTTGAACTGTTGTGGTTACGTGTTGTGAAGCCCTTAATTAACTTTATATGACCACGACAGCCCTGTAAAACTTATTTGAAACCCAGAATCTTATAGAAAGCAATCGATCAAACAGCTTACCGTAGAATTATGGGTTGGATGAGTTGTAAAGACTGTTGCTCCAGTTGCTTATGAAAAAGTCAAGGAGATAAAAAGCGGCAAATCAAAATTGTGACATACGAAAGGACTAACGCTAGGTGACACTCGTACTTTTATTAGGAATTTTTAAGAGGGTTTGACCACTTCTACTCAATTGCAAATGACATTGTTTTGTTGTAGGATTTTGAGCAGCGTACAGACACCGGGCGAAAGCCTACATTGCAAGCAAAACTTAGCGCCTTCCATAAGATAGTTTGCAGTATTCATGACTTCTTTTGACTGATAAGGTGTTGGAATGAGGTAAAGCAGGTGATTACAGTGAGTCGTGCTTCTCGATAAATCGCGACTTTCTGTTTCCTAAAAATTACTCACTTGAGATGATCAATCTGATTTTAAACACAAATGTTTCACAGGGTACTACACGAAATACAATATTCCTGGTCCCAGTTCCTTGATTTGCAGAAGCATATTGTAGCTTTGCCAGACAGAATCGAAGTGGTGGTGCAGCTTTAACGTTCACATTCACTTTTCTTCAACAACGGGGCATTTACACAATTATTATCTGTAATAGAATCGAAACGGCGGCAAAATAACTATAAAGTACAGCTTGACTCTCTAGGAAATTGTGTGTTGCAGTTGAACTGACACCGTGCAATTTAAGCTACGCATGCATCGTTCAATCTGAATCAGGAGAAATCAATGAGACAGTATTTCCTCTTGAATCGAATGAAAAGGCTGGCCACAATCTGTCTGATATAGCAACTGAATTCACTTAGCTTATTGATCTTCTAACTTAACTTAACCTTACTAGTTCTACTACTACTATTACTACTACTACTACTACTACTACTACTACTACTCTACCACTAGTTCTACTAGTACTATTACTACTACTACTACTACTACTTCTTCTACTACTACTAGTTCTACTATTACTAATACTATTACTACTACTCCTACTAGTACTATTGCTACTACTACTAGTTCTACTACTACTACTACTACTACTACTTGTTCTACTACTACTAGTTCTACTACTACTACTACTACTACTACTACTACTACTTCTTCTACTACTACTAGTTCTACTACTACTACTACTACTAATACTATTACTACTACTTATTCTACCACTACTACTACTTCTACTACTACTACAACTACTACTACTACTATTACTACTACTTCTTCTACTACTACTAGTTCTACTACTACTACTACTACTACTACTACTACTACTACTACTACTACTACTACTCCTACTACTACTATTACTAATACTACTAGTTATACTACTACTAGTACTTCTTCTACTATTACTAGTTCTACTACTACTAGT